TCTTCTATGATGCCTGGCGGCTGTCAGTCAGAAGTCAGTTGAGAAGAGAATGAATTAGTGACAGCACAGCAGAGCAAGCTTGTATGAAAGACATTATGAATCTCTGATGATATATCAAGACAGTAGTTGTGACTATCTAGAACTTCTATCACTTTATACTTGACATGATGATAATTCAGTGTACAAGATGAACATGTGATCTGTATATTCTTAAGATTCAATCATATCAAGTCTTCTATCTTATATTGTTCAGCGGGGTCTCAGTGAACATTGATTTGATTCTCTTGATCTTGTTTTACAGTTGCCATGAAGGCCTCTGCTCAGTCGTGGGCATCTCAGAGCTTTGTTACTATATTGTCAGCGATCTGAATTAGAGAAGATAATTCTTTACAGTCTGAATTGTCCGTTCTGACGCACCATCGGTCTCAGAGTGGTAGGCAGTTGACAGACGGTGTGTAATCTTGAGAACTTGACAGATCCTTGTTCAGAGAGCGCTCACAAATTGACAGCCCTGATTCAATACTATGAATCTGTAAGAGGCCTACGCCGAATAGATCAGTATAATATTGATAGGTCTTATATAACAAAGAGAAAAACATTAGAGAAGAAAAAGAAAGAGAAAGTGCAAGAATCAGTAATTGAAGTGAATATTTATACACATATGTGATGACATACATGATGAAGCTTCAGAGTGAAAGAATCTATACACATTTATAGCAGCTGAGAATCAGTGATTGAGAATGACTGAGAATCAGAGCATACATATTCAAGAATGAAGCAGTTGAAATCTGTGAAGTGTAACAGAATAGTCTATATAATTGATCAGATGCAGTTCATCACATTAGTTCTCTCTTTTCAGAAGTAGTTCTCATCAGTCAAGGACTGCTGTTTCAGATAATACAGAACTCAGAGTTCAGGTCAGATAATCATACTTAACTCATTTTATAAGATATTATCAGTTATGACTGTGAGATCTCTTATCAAGAATATTCTCAATCTCTCACTGAAGCTCATTATCTTCTTCTATGATACCTGGCAGCTGTCAGTCAGAAGGCAGTTGAGAAGAAAACAGATCAGTGATAGCATAGCAGAGCAAGCTTGTATAAAAGATATTATAAATCTCTGATGATATGTCAAGATAATAGTTATGACTATCTAGAACTTCTATCACTTTATACTTGATATAACAGTAATTCAGTGTATGAGATGAACATGTGATCTGTATATTCTTAAGATTCAATCACACTAAGTCTTCTATCTTATATTGTTCAGCAGAGTCTCAGTGAATATTGATTTAATTCTCTTGATCTTGTTTCACAGTTGTCATGAAGATCTCTGCTCAGTCACAGGCATCTCAGAGCTTCATTACTATATTATCAGCAATCTGAATCAGATTGCAGAGATTCAGTGTGAACTGTGTAATCTCTAGAAGATTCAACACTTTCATGTAATAATTATATATAAGAAAGAATGAGCTTATATCTGTTAAAACAGCATCTCATTCATTGATAGAAATCTCTGTATATAGAAACAGGTCATGTCAATCATCTTGTAAATAATTGCAGAACTTATGAAGATAATTCTTTACAGTCTGAATTATTCATTCTGACACATCATCAGTCTCAAGATAATAAGCAGTTGACAGACAGTGTGTAATCTTGAGAACTTGACAGATTCTTGTTCAGAGAGTACTTATAAATTGAGAGCTCTGATTCAATACTATGAATCTCAGTAATTCATACATTCAATAGAACAGACTCTGTAGAAAAGCTTCAGTAACTTGTTCAGTATTCATCTTATTATAAGGTTTCAATATTACACTCTTACTCAATTAGTTTATAATGATCAGAATGTTTCTATAATTCTTACTCTTAGAGAGATTAACAGTGAAGTTAATTATCACATCTCATTAGATTTTATCAGAGATATTGAGTAATTTCAGTAGATCTTTTCTACAGTTCTTTTACAAGATAATAAAAGAATAATGATTACAGTTTAAAATGAAACATCTGATGCTATTTGATATCTCAGATCAGTAGAACTCTTGAGAGATTATTCAGTATAATTATTTATAATCTGAGTAATCAGTTATATACAAATCATGTATCTCTTGCATTATCTAAGTGTATAAGAGTTTAAAGTGAGAGACTCAATATTATTCATAAAATCACAGAGTGTTATTATCATTGATTAAGCATTCTAAGATGTCAGTTCTTATACATAGTTCTGAGAGAAATCAGAGTGCTTCTTGATATACTGTGTCAGTGAGTGTTTAAAGAAGTTCATCAGTTTAAGCTGTTATATGTTATAATTCATTCAGTGTAGGTTCAGAAGAAGTCAAGATATCAGTATCAGTATCAGTGTTAATATCAGTGACAGTTCAAAGAGAGAGTGTTCTAATCAGAGAAGTGTATATAGTGTCATGAACTGTTTTATCTTGATTAACTAATATCTTCAGATTCAAGAGCTGATGCTCTCAGTTCATTCAGTAAGTATCTGTTACATTGAATAATATATCTTACTCTTATTATGAGAGAGCATCTGCTATTGAGTTCTGACTATCAGAATAATAGTATATTATAAAATAAAAACAGCTTAAAAACTCAGATTATTATATCTATTATTCAGTGAGTTTATAAGTAGTTGTGAAGTACTTGAGATTTTTATAATCTATAATTATCTCAAATTCAGAGATACTTCAAAGTTCAGAGTCTCATTCCTCTAGATAGTATATAATTGTGAAAAGTTTCTTATTATAAATCTTATAGTTGCATTCAGCAGAACTCAGTTTCTTAGACATGAAGATGCATAATTATAAGATATTTTTATCATCATATTACAATATAGCTTCTTCTGTGATATAATCAGAGAAATCAGCTTTAATAACTGTTTCATAATCAGAATTAAATGTTATAAGCAGAGAGATATTAATGAATATCTTCTTTATCTGTGTAAATGCAGCTTCAGTGTTCACTGATCATTGAAATACTGAGTTCTTCTTAGTAAGTTCTGTAAGTGATCTGATAATATCTGAGAAGTTTCATATAAATCATTGATAGAAGTTAGTGAATCTGATGAAGCTTTATACATCTTTCACAGTGTATAAAGCCTCTCATTCAAGAATAGCAGAGATCTTCTCAGAATTCATTCAGATTTCCTTATCAGCTTCTATGATAAAGTCTAGATATTTTGTACTTTTAATCTTAAAATCATATTTATCTATGTCTATTAACAGTTCTGCTTTCTGTAGCTGTTGTAATACCTTTCACACATGTTCTTAGTATTCTTTCCTGAATTCATCAGTGAAGATGAGAATGTTATCAAGATATATAGATATAAATTCATTAAGAAAATCTCAGAGTGCTCAGTTGATATACTTCTGAAATGTACTGAGAGTGTTAGTGAGTTCAAAAAGTGTGACTACTCATTCAAAGAGATTATATCATATTCAGAATACTGTAAGTTACTCATCTTCTTCAGTAATACAGATCTTATAAAATGCAGTGATAACATCTAACTTTGTAAATCATTGAGCTTGTTTAATATAAGCTAGAGTTTTATTGATAAGAGATAAAGAATAACAGTTCTTCTTCATTCATCTGTTCAATTCTCAATAATTTATGCAGAATCAGAGTTCTTCATCTGGTTTCTTTGTAAAGAAAATAGAGACTGCAGTGAAACAGTTGCTAATGTGTATGAATTCTTTATTTAACAGATTATTGAGTGTCTTTTGAAGAAGAAGAAGTTCATCTCAGAACATATTATAAAGAGAATCTTATAATAATTTAAAGTTCTTATTATTCTTCTTTTTCAACTTGATACTATGATTCACTTCTGATGTAAGAATAAGTGCTCGCAGGTGATTATTCGGGTGTTTGCAGCTTGGCGTGATATGTACTGTTAACTACTAGAAGTGTTCACAGTAGAAAGATAAATGTAGGGGTCAAATGTATCATAGCATTCAAGCTGAGTTATGAATAGTATTCGCGAATTCCAGTCTATATAGTTATGTGTAGCCAAGGGCCGCTAGCCCTATTAGTTACACAAGAGATAGGAATAGGGGTAAAGGATCCGTGAGAAGTGGGATTTCTTACATACCCCCTTCTCTCTAAGGCTTCATCCGCGAAGCCTTTCACTGAGTGACTTCATAGTCAGCTCAGCACTGCAGTGATACTCACTAAAAACCCTTCACATCTATAAAAAACCTCAGTGAGGAAAAATCCCTTGTTATCATAAAGAGAAAAGAGTCTGTCACTCAGTTCCTTGTTCTGTGAGGTTCTTTATGGCCTACAGATTCTTCTCTGACTATTATACAGATTCATCTCACATCTTTCATACAGAAGAGTTTCAGTTGACTCTCAATCATTTTCATAAGATTCTTGTGTGATTATCACATAGATTCATCTCACAGGTGAATCACTCTCTGTGAGATCATCTTCATCAAAGAGAAACATTCATGAGTTAATCTTTCATTCATTCTTACAAATCATTGCTCTTTGACACTGTAGAATTGTGAGGAATTTTCCATTCTTTTACTAACTCTGTAGAATTGTAGAATCAAGATGTCTGCAGTCTGCAATCACTCTTTGTAGTCACATAGAAAGATTCAGGCCTGCAATTCACAATCACTCTTGTTTACTAGAGTAATCTAGCTGTTCTGCAGAATCACTCACAGTGTAAGCAAACCTCTCTAGAGTAGTATAAATATCTCAGATCTGTTCACAGAATCTCATCTTCTTTTCTCTTTTTCTGTAACAGCTTTCATCTTCACAAACTGTGAGTATCCTCATTCATCTGTGAAGTGTTTTTACTCAGATGACAGAGAGAGAGTGTTTCTAACAATGTCTGCATATTGGTTCAAGAACTTCTCAAGAATAAAAATTTTTTCAATTCTAACATCTTCACAAACAATGTCTGGCTACTGCTGAGCTTCTCATGAGTGTTTTCATGACTTCTCTGATCACTTTTTGCTGGCTGGTGAAGCAGAGACACTGTCACTCATGACTGTGCCTTCACTCTTCTCAGCCCTGCCATCACACCCGATCTTCAGGCCAGCGGCCCACTTCATCCCTCTCTCAGGCCAGTCTCTGACTTCAAGCAGTGCAGTCCCTCTCTTTGCTGTAAGTCTTCTCATAAGTAATTTCTTACAGACTCTAGCTGACAGTTCTTATAAAGCTCTCAGTGTTGTCAGTGTCTTCTGCAGCTCTGCAGACCTACAATCACTCTCTCTCTACCCGCACAATCTCTGATCAGGTATATGTGAATATGCCTAGGTTCTCTATCAATAGTCCTCACACCGCGGCGCATTTCCACAATTCCATTACTAATGAGAGATGAGTTTCCAGATACCTGCAAAATCTGAGTAATCAAGGCAATGCAAATGTCATGAATTTATGACAGAAGTTGATCTGAGCAGATGAGCTTTCTCTTCATATTCTCATTATTTCTGAGCTGAATACTCCAGTATAACTGAGAGAGTGAACACAGCTTCATGAGAGATATCTGATCACACATACAGATGATCAGTCTTCAAGACTCTGCTGCAACTGCATGTGCTCTGATGTCTGACTTCTCTGAAGTCTGTGCATTTCTGACAGTCTTCACATCAAATGCAACAATTGTCTGTATCACAGGCATAATACTCTCTGCTTCTTTGAAGAGAGAAATTGATAGTTGTGAAGAAATTGAATGTCATGAGTGTTGATGATGTGAGTGTGAGTTTTCTTTGTTTTTTCTTTGTTGGCCTCTAAATTATATTCACAGCCCTGTTTATTTTCTTGTTTTTTAGCTTTAATGAGAACATGTTTTCTTCTTCCCTTGTATATGCTGCAGACTGTTCATCTCAGTAGAAACTCATCATCTTATAGACTAGGATTCACAAATGACAGTGTTAATGTCTTTGTCATAACCAGGTTCTTAGCAAAGATCATGCCATTCTGGCTTATCAGAATTCACAGCATGAAAGTCATATCTCAGCTTCTGCAGATGTCTTATCTGCCTGAATAATTCTCAAGTGAACTCATTCATCTTGTCAGAATACTCTTGTCACTGAATCTTGAATCAGAGCTCACAATCTCACTTCTCTGAGTCAACAATCTCTTTGACCTGATATTCTCTTTCACTCTCTAGTGCTTTGCAGACAGAGTGATGAGTCACAGAGTTCTCTTCTAAGAATTCCTTATATTCATGAAGCAAAGAGACATGAAAAACATTGTGTATCTACAACTCAGATAACAGTTCTAATCTGTAGAACTGTGAGCTAACTTTCTTCATAATCTTACAAGGCTCTGTTCACAAGAGATTCAGCTTCTTACTAGGTCTCTGCATGATGATGTTTTCTAGACTTAGTCAGACTCTATCATCTTTCTTGAAACTCTTTACAATGTGCTTGAAGTCATAGTATCTCTTCTGATACTCTTGAGCCTTTCTCAAGAATTTATGAGCTTTCTCCCAGATCTCCTGAATTCTCTCAGCCTGTTCACAGGCATCATCACACTCTATAGTGTACTCTTGCAGGTTCATCAAGATCATCTGCAGATAAGTCTCAGTGAGCATCTCAAAGAGAGTTTTGCCTGTGCTGACATGCTTTGAGTTGTTGTACACAAACTCTGTAAGTGATAATCAATGCACTCAGTCATTCTGATTGTAATTGACAAAGCACTGCAGATACTGTTTTAATATACTCATCAGGCATTCTGTCTGACCATCTATCTGTTGATAAAAAGCCATGCTTAGATCTCATGAGATCTTCAGTATAGTCATCAGGTCAGATCAGAACTCTTCTGTAAAGATTGATTCTCTGTCTGAGACAATGTTCACAGATAACTCATGCAACTGAACCACATTGTGAATGAAGATGTGAGTCAAATTCTTTGACTTCAAGTCCTTGCAGATGAGTATAAAGTGTGTCATCTTGATGAAGTGATTCACTATCACCAGCACACTGTCAAAGCAGGCATCATATATGTTCTTGCTTTCAGAGAGGCTCACAAGAGCATTCATTTCTAGCTGTTCTCAAGGTTCCCGCGGGATGAGTAGAGAAGTGAGTTCTTCATATAACCTGGACCACACTACCCGCGAACCCTGACAAACAGCATAAGAATTCACTATCTCCTTCACAAGTTCTTGCATCTTCAGCCAGAAGTATTTTCTTATAAGTAACTCATGAGTTCTAGTGTCTGCAAAATGACCTGCTAGAGAAGAGTCATGATATCTTTTAATGAGTTCTATATGTAGAAACTTATTCATAAGCACATAAATCCAGCCCTCTCTTTGCAAGAGGTCATTTAAGTTCCTTCAATTCTTTGTTTCTGCAGGGTTGGTCCCTGCTGTGAGCAGTTTTCAAATATGCTAAGCATATTCATTCTTCAGTTGCAGTTCAGACAATCTGAATAGAAGATCTTGTGAAGACTTGTACTCTGTTTCTCCTTGCATCAGGTCTTTCACAGTGCTTCTCAAAGCCTGCAAACTCTTCAGATTATAGATACTCTCTTCAAGAATTCTTGCAGAGATTTCCCAAGTGTTGACTCTCAGTGTCACAGAGAGTAGTTGTACAGGCTTCTTCTCTTTCTTTTCCCTTTTCTCTTGCAGGGGATTGAGAGACTCTTCAGTCAATCTCTTCATAACACTCAGTCTGAGTATTCTGTAAAGCTTTTCTGCCTTCTCTAGTCTCTCTGTGTCTGTCACTCTGGCCTTCTTAACATAGTCTGGCCTGTAAGAGAGTTCATTCACTGGGTTCTTAGTTTTCTTGATATATTCTATCTTGAACCAGAACTCACTCAGTCTCTGAGCTCAGTGAACCTGCTGTCACAAGAGTTTCTTGATTAAAGCAAACTGTTGCAAGCTGTCATGATCAGTTCTAACAGTAATCACTGTTACAAGGCCCTCAAAGTAGTGACATCAGTGACAGAAGAATTTCACTATCATAAGAAGCTTCTGATTATGAATGTCATAGTTGATCTCCGCGGGTTGCATCTTCTACAAGAAAAAGGCCACTGGAACCCAGTTCTCATTTGACTGTAGTTATGAGACTATTTCTGAAATTGCAAAGAAGAAGGCATCTGTCTTCAATCTGATTAAGAGTAAGGAATTAAAGTGAAACAGCATCACTGTGTCTGTGAATGTCTGTTTCAACCTTGCAAAGGCTCTGCAAGCTTCTGAGGTAAGAAAGTCCTTGCAGTTCTCCCTTCTCAACAATCTTTCCATTCTCTGTTCACAGAATGACTTCTTCTTGTTTCCACTCTTCAGCATGTCTGTAAGGGCCAAGAAGATTCTTGTGAATGCAAAGATAAACTGTCTATAGAAATTCACAAAGTTCAGAAAGATCTGAATCTCATGAATACTAGTTGGCTCCGGTCATGATAGAATAGTCTCAACTCACAAAGATTTCATCTGAATATCATCTGCAGTGATTACATATTCTAGAAAATTAATTCAGTGAATACTGAAGTTGCACTTTGTAAGCTTAACATACAGTTCTGCCTTATCTAAGGCCTTCAACATGCTTCACACATGCTCAGTGTGTTCTTTCTTCTTCATGAAGTACACTATCACATCATTCAGATATATTATCATGAAGACATTCAGATATGCACAAAGTGTTTTGTTGATGAAAGACTGAAATGCTGTGAAGACATTAGTCAGATTAAAAGGCATCACTAGATATTCAAACAATTTCAGTGCAGTTCTAAAGACAGTCTTTCATTCATTCTCAGACTGTATTCACAGCCATGTATATGCATTGATCACATTCAGTTGTGTGAATATGATAGCTTCTGTGAGATGATTGATCACATTCTCAATCAGAGGCAGAGAGTAGCAGCTCTTTGTTATCTTGAAGTTCAGATTGTGATAGTCTACACACAATCTGAGACCTTCATTCTTCTTCTTCATGAACATCACAGGGGCTTCCACAGAGGCCTGTGAAGGTCAGATAAAGTCATTCTTCAGATTCTTCTTCACATAGATCTGCAAGACCTCTGTCTCATGATGAAAGAGCTTATAGATTGATTCTCAGAAGGGTTTCTGTTCTTCTATCAAATCTATTATCAGATTCTTCTCACAGTGAGAAGAAA